AATATATGGTGGCTTTTAGTAAAACAGGGGTCTACCCCAGGAAATCAGGAAAGTGTGAGAAAGAAACTCAAGATTTTCCCACTGATTCTCCTTCATACCTGGAGGAAATATATGGTGGCTTTAAGTGAAACAGGAGCCTGCCCCGGGAAATCAGGAAAGCATGAGAAAGAAACTCAAGATTTTCCCACTGATTTTCCTTCATACCTGGAGGAAATATATGGTAGCTTTTAGTAAAACAGGAGCCTGCCCCAGGAAATCAGGAAAACGTGAGAAAGAAGCTCAAGAATTTCCCACTTTGATTCATACCTGGAGGAAATATATGGTAGCTTTTAGTAAAACAGGAGCCTGCCCCAGGAAATCAGGAAAACGTGAGAAAGAAGCTCAAGAATTTCCCACTTTGATTCATACCTGGAGGAAATATATGGTGGCTTTTAGTAAAACAGGAGCCTACCCCAGGAAATCAGGAAAGTGTGAGAAAGAAACTCAAGAATTTCCCACTTTGATTCATACCTGGAGGAAATATATGGTGGCTTTTAGTGAAACAGGATCCTGCCCCAGGAAATCAGGAAAGAGTGAGAAAGAAACTCAAGAATTTCCCACTTTGATTCATACCTGGAGGAAATATATGGTGGCTTTTGGTAAAATAGGAGCTCAAGAGAGCACTAAGGACTGCTCAATTACAATCATATGTTATGTCCAGAGACTTGGGATTTTTAAACCAAAGCTCTTATTTATTGATTGATTGATTGATAAATTTTGTTTGGTACCCATCTCATTGCAAGGCACCCCTTGTTTGTCTTTATTGATTTTCATGTATTTATTACACAATTCTATATCTCGAGCCCCCCCTAACGGACACAGACGTAACTCTTGCAGAGCGCATTCAACAGCTTCAGCTACGAGTTTATGATCATCCTGGGCGAGATTGACCAGATGCTGGAGAAGCTCCCCGATTGGGCGAGCCCCCAGCCCGTGGAGAAAACCGTGATGACGCTGGGCGACAAGACCTACATCCATCGGGAGCCCCTGGGCGTGGTCCTGGTCATCGGGGCATGGAATTACCCCTTCGTCTTGGTCATGGGGCCTCTGATAGCAGCCATCGCTGCAGGTATGCCGCTTACTCACCTGAAATCTTCGTCCTCGGGATAGAGCTGGAAGGGACCTCGGAGGACTTCCAGTCCAACCCCCGGCTCAAGCAGAGAGAACCTACCGTATTTTTCAGAGTATAAGACGCACCTTTTTTTCCCCGTCAAAAAAAGAGGCTGAAAATCTGGGTGCGTCTTATATACCGAATACAGCATTTTTGGCCTCCCGAAACCCCGCCCTCTTTGCAAAAATGGCCGTGCATAGCCTTATGGAGGCTTTCAGAGAGCTCCTGGGGGCTGGGGAGGGAAGAAATAAGCAAAAAACGACCTGTTTTTTACTCCCCAGCCCCCAGCAGCACTGTATAAGCCTCCATAAGGCTATGCATGCATTTTTTTGACAAAATACGGCCATTTTTTCTCCCCCCCCAGGAGCACTCTGCAAACCCCCCCCCCCAGGCTATTCATGCCTTTTTTTGAAAAAAATAACGGGCCTGTTTTCATAAAAAACGAGCCATTTTTGGGAGGTTTGCAGAGTGCAAAAACTTTTTTCCCCCTTTTGGAAAGCTCTTTGATGGGGATTACATTGATCAAGTGTTGTGCCAGCAGGAACAAAGTCTTAAGTGCTGCAGATTGTCAGAAATTTCCTTCTCCAGCCCATGGATAAATACACCTGGAAACATCTACCTACCTACTTACTCTTTATCTATCTATCTCTCCCTACCTACTGTATTTCTCTCCTCCCCACTTTATCTACCTACGTGCCCATCTTCTCTCTCTCTTTCTCCCTACATATCTACTGTATTTCTCTCTCTCTTTCTATTTCTCTCTATCCCTCTATCTACCTACTTACCTACACACACACTCTCTCTCCCTACTTACCCACTGTATTTCTCTCTATCTCTCTCTATTTCTCTCTCTCTATCCCTTTATCTACCTGCCTACCTACCTAACTACTCTCTCTCTCTCTACCTACCTACCTACTATATTTCTCTTTCTCTCCCTCTCTATCCCTCTATCTACCTACCTAGGTTTTTTTTTTAATTTGCCTCTTCAAAACCTTGGTGCGTCTTATACTCCGAAAAATATGGTATAATACCATTTCAGACAAATGGCTGTCCAGTCTCTTCTTTAAAAACCTCCAGTGATGCAGCGCCCACAATTTCCGGTGGCAAGTTGTTCCACTGGTTAATTGTCCTCACTGTTAGGAAGTAGTTGCAGGTTGCTTCTCTCCTTGATTAATTTCCATCCATTTACCTTCCTTCCTCCCTTCCTCCCGCCCATCTTTCCTCCCCATCTTTCCATCCTTCCTTCCTTTCCTTCCCTCCTTCCTTCCCTCCATCCCTTCCTCCCTCCTTCCCATCCATCCATCCATCCATCCATCCATCCATCCATCCATCCATAGAATAAAGAGTTGAAGGGACCTTGATGGTCTCCTAATCCAGCCCCCTGCTCAAGCAGGAGACCCCTGCCATTTCAGATAAGTCTAGTCTCAACTTCTGGTGGCAAGCTGTTCCACTGGTTAATTGTCCTCACTGTCAGGAAATTACTCCTCGGTTCTAAGT